TGGGACCCGCAGCCTGGTCACAGTCCTCATGGACCCGCCCCAGCGCCCAGGGACCCGCTACCAGTGCCCTCCCGTGGCGCCCATGCCAGACCCATGCGCCAAGGCCACCGTGCTCCAGGCCCTCAGCCACAGCCCCAAAGGCAGAAAGAAGGTGGACGGTCCTCTCTGGTTTGAGAAGCCCCAGGTGGACAAGCCCCAGGTCGCCAAGGCCCAGGACACCAAGCCCCAGGACACCAAGCCCCAGGTCGCCAAGCCCCAGGACACCAAGACGCAGGTCTCCAAGCTGCAGTTTCAGAGGCCCCAGGTCGCAAAGCCCCAAGTCACCAAGCTGCCCATCCGCAAACTCCAGGTCAACAAGCCGGAAGTCGACAAGCCAGAGAGCCCCGAGCTTGAGGTTCCAGAGCCCCCGAAGACCCCAGAGCCCTGGCCATCTGCTTTCCTGCCTGTGATCAGCTACGGAGTGACCCGGCCCTTCAAGCCCCAGCTGGGCCCTGCGACAGGAATCCACGGCCCAGTGCCCAGGAGACCCAGGCAGGGCCTGCCCCCCAGCCACCCCTCCCCTGTGGGTGCCCGCTGTGTCCCCTGGTGCAGGTACTGCACTGGCCAAGGACACCGTCTTGCAGCTGGAGACCCGGGCGCAGGTGCCCCCCAGTCCAGGGGCCTCGGGCCTGGCCGCTGTGCTCAGCAGCCTCAGCAGAGGTGCCCCCCTGATCCCCGAAGGCCATCCAGGCAGATGGAGCCCCTGACGGCCCCCAGAGGGCCCAACGGCCGCCTGTTCTTCAAATACTCACCTACAGTCACCATCTTCTCCTACTGACTCCGCTCTACCCCACGGGGAGGCTTTGGCCACCCGCAGACTGGCCACAGCTTGGACTCACAGGTCTGCCACTCCCCAACCTTCCTCTGTGTCACCTGAGGAGCCCCCACTGGAGGAGACTGTTGACCCCTCACCCCTGGCCGCCCACTCCCGCTTCTCCCTGGGAGGAGACTGACCAGGGAGGCGGCCTCCGCCCCACGTGCCCATTTCTTAGTTAAGTGATGCTTCTTGTGTCATGGAGTAGGAACAGGAATAGTGAAGGTTTGTTCTCCTAGAGATTGTCCTGTTCTTCCTTTCCAAGACTCTCCCTGGAGTTTCTCCAACTGGACACTGTAGAGGGTGGGGCCAGACCTTCTGGTGATTGGTGCTGTCCTGTGCATGGGACCAGGAGCAGCCTCCCTGGTCTCTGAGGGGCAGCTGAGCCAATGCACAGTGTCTCCAGGCAATTTCCAAACAACCAAATTGTTGGAAAGTCACCAATCTTGAGTGGCATTCAAAAAAGGAGAAATTTTAGTTACATATTTTCAAATAGGATATGTTAGAAGTAGATAGTTTGTATAGCACAATGTCATCTGCAGGAATTAGTTCATATAGCTATTGTTTAAAATATAAAGAATGTATTTTAATTCATATTTATGTGTATATCTGAACCTTTACATAGCCTGTGTGTTGTTGATTTAGTAGGAATTCAGTTAATTATTTATTAATAAAGCTGGTTGAAATATTTCAAAATATTAATGGGCACATCACTAGTGATAATGTCAAACATTCTGTGTTGTTTAATACAGTTAATATTGTTGTATTGTATAAATTATATACAAAGTATGAAATTGTGTTTCTGGCGTGATAAACAAGGGCAGAAACCAGGCTGAGGTCCCTTGGACACTTGGCCTGGGCGGATCTTTCTATGCAAAGTCTCCACACAGTGTTGGAACTTGAGCCTCGGGGTCTTCCTGTTGAGAGGCAGGGGACCCAGCTGTACCCAAGCCGTCCCTCTTCCCCTGGAGCGTGGTGTCCAGG